ATAATATGATGCAATATATCATGTATAAAAGTATTGTCGAAAGATTTTTATTTTTCGATTTTATTTTTTTCTTATAAAGATATAATTTATTGAGATATCTCAATTTTCAACATATCAGATACCTGAACCTCTTCTAAAATTTTATAATTTATTATGTGTGACACATCTAGAGTATATGTCTCCTTAATGAAATCATATTTGCTAATTGTTTTATTTTATTTGAAATTTTGGTGTTAGAATCAAATATCATCATGCTTTAAGTGTACCATAAATTTATCAAACATAGTATTAATTAATTATCCCCAAGACGTTAATTTGAGTTATAGAATTTAAAGTTGTGTATGAGATACTGTTAATTTTTTTGGTCAATAAATGTATCTAAATAAATTATCTTTCAAAATTTTAGTTCAAATTATCTTTTGTAACAATTTAGATAATAATGCATTTATACATTATTTTCGAGTTCTTAATTACTCCCTCTAATGCTGAGAAAATTATCCAATCAAATTGACAATCTCAAACCACACTATAAAATATCATTCATTTGAGATAAAAGATTAAACCGCTCATTTATTCTCAATTCTTTTTACGTTTTATTTCAGTGCATTGTGGTGGGTCAAATTTATATATACTGCACTGCCAAAATAATCAGATAAAAAAATTAAGCTCTAACCATAGGCTATGTTATAATAGGTAGAACTATTGTGATAGCATGATGCATAATAGCATTTCTTAAATAGAAATGAAAAATATTTTGTTCTCAATAATAATGATTTAGAAATTGATCAAAGGCGTTTAACAAGCATTAATGTTAAACTGTTTATCGATAACCCAACTAATACTTAATAAAAATATTAAAATTTAGGCTCAATAGTACTAACAATACACAGTGTCTTGATTTTATAATTTGAAAATTATGTTCATAATTTAAAATTCGAACAACAATTTCGTAAAAGTTTAGGTTGCAAATATTGTATAGTTATCTAGTAAATGCACAAAACCTATTAGATACAAAAAATATCTAGATAGTCAACGTGGAGGGTGAAAAACCACATATAGCACCCTAATTAATTTTCAAAAATATAATAAATTTAATCCCTATTTAGTTAGAAATTATTAATGACCAACAACAGAGAGGACAAATATCATATAAGAATTCGTTAAATTGAAAAATCTTTTAGTTCTTCGTTGAATATCCATTTGAATTTTCAATTTCACATCATTATTGATCAAATGATGGTCCAACTGGTTATGACAAACAATTATACATTCAGTATTGAACTTCTGGTTCAATACATTTTCGTCATTTAAATAATTATTCAATTAAATAAAAAATAATTAATTCTCGAAAATATGATTAATCATGATATAAACATATAAAAATCAAAATTTCTAAGGCATGAATTGTATCTTTTCCCTCAAAGATATATACTAAAGAAAATGATATAATTTTAGAAATATGTGTTATTTCGAGAGTATATTGTATTTTATTATTACTTATTTCAGAGCAATAAGTTAATAGTTTTTTGAAATATTAAAAATTATCATTTATGCTTTTCAGGAGGAAGTAATATTCCTCTGAAATATTAATTATAATATTTTGATTTTTAGATTAACAACAAACTATTGTAAATAGATAAATATATGATTATATATTTTTTTGGTATAATAATTATATTGTTGTGCTACTTTAAGAGTAACCACAATTAAGAATAAATTTAATAATTGATATTTTATTACTAAAATTAAAAAACTGATAATGAAATATTTAGTTGCACACCACAATGATAATATTAATTAATCTATAAACATACGTAAAACATTGGTTTGATTTTATTAACGCGAGTTCAATTGAAAAAATAGATATATTAACGTAAATTTTACATTTCCCTACTAGCTTAAAATTAACTTGATTTCATAATTGATTAATGCAAACAAATATTCTACAAAATAAAAACATAATCACCATGCATACAATAAAATAATCATTATTTCTGCAATAACAAATAATGAATATTCGTCTAAAATATTTAAATTGTAATATCATGTCCTTCTTGGACTATATATATATATATATATTCATTTCAAAAGTAATAATACAATATTATTTTAAATATCGTAGGTATGAATTTGTGCTTCTTCAAGAGGAACAAAATAATACAAATATCATATTCATTTTCAAGTAATACTACAACATTCTTCTGGAATATTGATTTAGATTTTTTTTTTCTTTTCAGCAATAATAATACAATATATTTTTTAAATATTGATTTAAATTGTTTCTTTTGAAGAACAATAATATAGTGTTCTTCTGAAATATTATAAATATTTATTTATCATAATTGGTGTAGTCAAATAGGTATAATCAGATCGAATAACTATACTCATTATTATACAATTTAAAGTCAAGATAATCTATCATTTTCTATTAGCTGATTAAAAGAGATTCTTTGTAAACTTAGTTGGCTAGAACTTTTTCTCTCTATTTTTGATTGAAGGGAAATAAATTCTACCATAATTGGCTAAAGACTTGATAGAAGAAAGAAAAATAAATTTTTGCTAACTCAATTGGCCAGAAATCTGTACTGATTTTGTGTTACAAACTAGAGAACAAAAGAGATGAATCAATAAACTTGTGTGTATTATTTTGAAAACCAAAGCCCCATATTTGTAGGAAAGAATTAAGGATATCATGTTAATAAAAACTAGGGTTGCAAGGTTGTAATTCTCATTCACTAATAATCATATTATTTACAACAGTCAATATTAGGGAAGAAAGAAATAGTTAGGGGTCAATATGGTTCCATTTAATTTTGCTTCCAACAGAATCAAATCAAATTATGAACCAAAGATTTTTTTAAGATATAAAACCAAACTGGATCCAACCATTTGATTCTAGTTTTGTTTGATTTGGTTCTGATTTCGTTTCTTAGTCCCTGTTTCATACCCATTAAGAAGTGTTTTTTTTTTTTAAATGAGTTTTAAAATAGTAAATTTTTGGAGAATATGTAGTTATAAGTATGGAAAAGTTTAAAATTTACATGCAAAATTATATTTTATTGTGTGGTTGAAAATAAGTTTTTATTTTTTTTCTTTAATAAAAAGAGTATTGAGAATGGTAGACAAACATGAACTTAAATTTTCAAATGGTAAATGCAAATAAAATTATAAGTTTGTAATAATGCATAAATCATAAAAATAAATATCCAATATTCAGTTATCCAATATTCAACTTCAAATTATCAATCATCAAATGAAATATTGTGTAATAAAATTCATTCATAAAAGTCCAAACTAAAAAAGAGAGCATAGTCATAATTTGAATACACATTTTATAATATATTCCCCCCCCCCCCCCCCCCTTTTTTTTTGTGTGTGCATATTTATGTAATTATATAGCATCTGGTTGGTAAATTCATAAAGAAGAAGAATAATGGATTGCATAAACTGTATTGATAATAATAAAAAATAATTATAAATGTTTGGTTAAAATTCATGTTTGCTATTGACTGAATTTGTAATCAATATATAAATTGTATTCAAATATAGACTTAATGATTTTCATAATTTGATCAATTAGACATTGTGAAAATTGATTTTTACCTACTAAGAATAAGATCACACAAATTTTCTCCTAATATACTTATTACTAAAGTGCCTTTTTCTTGTATAAAAATTTACTATAAGATACATTATATATATATATGGGATCATTATAATATATTCCGTAGTATTAACATGAATAACTTTTTGATTCATAAAAATAAAACTTTTTCAAATATATACAAAAAAATTAATTACAAGTAAATTTGACATGTATAAATGAAAAATACTCATGATAATACTAGAGAACATAAGTAAAATGCAAATTCTACACTTAAAAAAATCAATTAAACCAACCATAAAATGATGAAATTCCACCCACTCAAAGAAAAGAAAAAATCATGTAGTCAATTATCATTTTAGCTTCTTTTAGATCTTGTCATTAGTCTTATTATTTGCTGATTTAGTGAAATATTTTCCATAATTAATTCACCATTTACGTTGTCCAAATACTAACTAATAATTGCCTAACCTTTCTTCAAAACTAATTCATTACTTTCAACTCCAACAAAACAAGCTGGCTATGGCTGTTGTTATTAAACAAGATATCAATGAATAAGGTGTCAAATTTTACTAATAGAATACAATTAAATTTATGTTATAAACTATTATGGTATGTGTTGATTGGAAGACCTCCATCATACAATAGAAAAAAAGAAGCCAAAAAATTAATGGCTACACTTGCTGTACACTGTTGTGCATAGCAAGGGATACAGTCCTCTCACATGAGGGGCCCCACAATTCCCTCATCTGAGGAGGAGTAAAAATTTACATTTAGAATTTCCCAAAAATTAATTACATTATTCAATCTTATTTTGGCCATCTATGAAAAGAGGGAAATTTTTAAAATTTAATATATTATATTGTCAATTCTTATTAAAATTTGGCTTATGAAACTTGACCTTCATTGCCCGTCCACCTAATTTTCAATTTACAACTCAAAATCATGTTAATATAAAAACATTGTTTGCAAAATATTTTTAGATAGAAAAGAGCGGAGAAATCCCTCCGAAGATATTGATTTTTTGCATGTCTGACAAAATTTAAATTGTAATTTTAAGTTAATTATACATATTTCAAATTATCAACCTATCTCGTATGACTCATAACTCACCATCGACTTATTTTATTCATACACATTTTGTAAGACCTATTTTATTGTAATTTAAATTTAATCGACCATATTTTTTTTATCTACACATATCTATCATCCAACTCGCTATCGACTTATTATTTTCTTACACGTTTGTAGGATCAACAAATTTATAAGCACTAAATTCTTATATTGTGATGACAGATAAATACTTGAACAGAATCTTTATGACGTGTAGACTAGAAAATCTTGGCCGTTTAAATTCCAATGTAACGTAGAGTCCCATATTGGTAAGTCTTGACCTCTGTTCTTATCCTCAATACCATGCCAGCCATAACACCACTTTCCTTCCGTGAAAGCTAAATATTTTTCCAAATCCCAAACTTTCTTTAATTATGTCGAGGCTATAGATAAAAATCTTGTGTATGGAAAGTCAATGAAAAAATCCTGTGAATATAATTTTGAATAAACCCTTCTTGTTTGTAACAGCAGAACACGCACATAAATAAGCCACCACTCACTTAAAGCTTCTTACATACATTCAAGAAAATCAAAGATTTTGTGTTTTTTTTCTTGGGTTTTTTAATTATGTTGTCGAGATCTTGTTTCAATCTCTTGAATCTTGACGACTATTCGGGTGGCGGCGATCGGACTCCAATACCAAAAGTGGTTGCTGTGCCGGGAATCATATCGGATTTCGAAGAATGCAAAACAGAATCTGACAATCAAAAAAGAAGAATAATTGTAGCCAACAGGCTGCCATTACAGTGTTATAAAGATTCAGAAAACAAAAAATGGTGCTTTGATTGGGATAAAGATGCTTTAGTTTTGCAACTGAAAGATGGGTTCTCACCAGATGTGGAGATTATCCATGTGGGGTGTTTGGGAGTGGAGATTGATCCCTTGGAACAAGAACAGGTGGCTCAATTTCTACTAGATAAGTTTAAATGTGTACCTACTTTTTTGCCATTGGATTTGATGAACAAATTCTATCATGGTTTTTGTAAACATCATCTATGGCCTTTGTTTCATTACATGTTGCCTTATACACCTAATCATGGGGTCAGGTTTGATAAAGCCACGTGGCAAGCTTATGTCTCAGCAAACAAGATTTTTGCTGACAAGGTAATGGAAGTGATTGATCCAGATGAGGATTATGTGTGGGTACACGATTATCATCTTATGATTTTGCCTACTTTCCTGAGGAAAAGTTATTTGGGGGTGAAACTTGGTTTTTTCCTTCATAGTCCATTTCCTTCGTCCGAAATTTATCGAACATTGCCAGTTAGGGAGGAGATTTTGAGGGGAATTTTGAATTGTGACCTCATTGGGTTCCATACATTTGATTATGCTAGGCATTTTTTGTCATGTTGTAGTAGAATGCTTGGATTGGATTACCAATCCAAAAGGGGGTACATTGGGCTTGAATATTATGGTAGAACAGTTTGTGTCAAAATCCTCCCTGTGGGAATTCATATGGGTCAGGTTCAATCAATCATGGCACGGGAGGGCACCGCAAAAAAGGTCGAGGAATTGAAGGAGGAATATGATGGAAAATTTGTAATATTGGGCATAGATGATTTGGACATGTTTAAAGGTATTAGTTTCAAGTTTCAAGCATTGGGGCAGCTTTTGGCTGAGAAACCTGTATATAGAGGTAATGTAGTTCTTATTCAAATTATGAACTTACCTAGAAGTCAAGGCAATGATATCCAAGAGGTTCAAAGAGAGATCAACGAAGTCGCTACTGAAATTAATAGAAAATATGGTGAACCGGGGTATGAGCCCATCGTTTGTGTCAAGGGCCCAGTTTCTTCTCAAGATAAGATTGCATATCTGGCTATTTCTGAAACTGTTGTGGTTAATGCTGTTAGGGATGGTATGAATTTGGTGCCTTACAAGTACACTGTGGCTAGACAGGGCAGTCCTGATTTGGACAAGGCTTTAGGACTTGAGGGGTCGACCACACCCAGGAAAAGTGTTATTATTGTTTCAGAGTTCATAGGATGTTCTCCGTCCCTCAGTGGTGCAATCCGTGTCAACCCTTGGGATATCAATCGGGTGGCTGAGGCCATGGTTCAGTCTATTGAAATGCAAGACTCCGAGAAAGAATTGTGCCACCAGAAGCATTACAAGTATGTTACATCTCATGATGTTGCGTACTGGGCTAGGAGTTTCGACCAGGACCTCGAGAGAGCATGTTCAGAACATTACCTAAAGAGATGTTGGGGTATGGGGTACGGCCTGAAGTCCAGAGTTGTTGCATTAGGTCCGAATTTTAGGAAGCTTTCAGTGGAGAATATAGTTTCTGCTTATAATGTTACAAATAGTAGGCTTATCCTTCTTGACTATGATGGAACCATGATGCCCCAGGATAGAGTTGACAAAACTCCTAAAGAGGAAGTTATTTCGGTCTTGAACAATTTATGCAATGATCCGAAGAATTTGGTGTTCATTGTTAGTGGCAGAGGAAAGGATTCACTAGGCAAGTGGTTCTCTCCATGTGAAAGACTTGGGCTGTCTGCAGAACATGGTTACTTCACCCGGTAAAAATATGTTCCTTTGATGATATGGTTTCTTGATTACCATTTTGTTTTTAATTTTAACTTATCCCCTTCGATTTTCAGGTGGCCAAAATGTTCTGGTTGGGAGTGTTGTGGGTTGACAATGAATTTTGACTGGAGAAAAATAGCCTTACCTGTAATGCTTTACAATATTCCAGGTATTAAATATTGTCGTTCTACCAAATTTTCCTTTAAGTTGATCTGAAATTGACATGTCAATTTTAGCCATTTATAATTTGGCGCTATTGGAAGGCCAATGTTATAATGACTCCATTTTCAGTCTCAAGAAAATATCCAACTTCAAATTACCCCACAAATCTCCCATCTAAATGAGTCACAGTGGTGGACCAAGAAACCAGTCTTGAACAAATTTTGACGATGTCGATCTTCCCCATAATTTCTAGGAAAATGCTATGTGTATACTATTGTACACATAGCATCACACCTCCCTCACATGGAGGGGGCCCACACACAATAAAATATTTGTGGGTTCCCTCCATGTGAAAATGGTGTAATGCATTGTGTACGCCTCATAGCATAACTAGTGACGATTTTATGGACGTCGGAAACTCCCAACTAACTACTATGAGAGAGGCTATGGAATGCCTCACTAATGCAGCATGATGAATGAAACAAAATCGAACTGTTACCACTGGCATGGTAGAGACAAAGCTGGTAACGCACGAACTCAAATTCGAAGGTACTTGCAATTTCTAGAAGAATGGTCATGCAGAAGCAAGATGGAAGACCCAATGCATATGCAACTATGGGAGGGTCAAACAAGCAAAAGGCTAAAAACATCTTTAAACAACTAGGATCACAGAGATTACACACTTGAGAGTTGACCGGCCTAATCCAGTCTTAAGACATTAAAGTGCCAAAGGAAAGACACGAGCTATATCTGCTAAAAAAAATACATAGTCAAGTTATAAACTAAGCAAAAAGGAGTAATGGAAGAGTATTTCACCAAAGTAAAAAGCCAAACGACCCGCGAGGATATACATAGTCAAGTTATAAACTAAGCAAAAAGGAGTAATGGAAGAGTATTTCACCAAAGTAAAAAGCCAAACGACCCGCGAGGATATACATAGTCAAGTTATAAACTAAGCAAAAAGGAGTAATGGAAGAGTATTTCACCAAAGTAAAAAGCCAAACGACCCGCGAGGATATACATAGTCAAGTTATAAACTAAGCAAAAAGGAGTAATGGAAGAGTATTTCGCCAAAGGAAAGTCAAACGACCAGCGAGGATGACCGCGCACTCATATGGATGCGTGGTCTTGCATGAATAAAATAATGTCCGACCCCCATGTGTGTGTATGCGGTCATTCTCAATGTCAAACTCGATGTTTGTGTAGCATGGTTGTTCGCCATCCATTCACTCCCCATTCTTTGAGGACATTTTGTTTTAGGGTATATGAGAACGTTAAGTGTGAAGATGACTGATAGATTTTTTTAGAAAATTAATAAGATGAAAGAGAATATTTATCTACAATTTTTTCTTAAAAACTCTCAGTTTAAGTCTCATCATTCTCATGTATAATTCCATATAATTATATTTTTTAGGAAATATAATAATGATTTATGACTAATTTGTAAAAGAATTCTATAAGTTTATATTTTTGAAAGTTTATTCAAAAAGTTTGGTAGGTAGGATTTTTTTCCCAGATAAAAAATATCACTTATGCCTCTCGTCCAGAAAGCCTCACAGAACTCAAACAGAAATTTAAAATTTTGGGAGCTACAGTAACCTTTTTTTGACCAGTCAAAAAAAAAAAAATACAGGGCCCACTTTCCAGTTTTCATATTTGTCCCACTCATTCCCCCGAATTTGTTTCCCGCTGAAAGTGGAGGCTTCACCACCAAAAAATCTGAATAATTTGTACGTTTATCCCGACTCCGACAAAGATGGTGATGCCCAACTCCGACGAAGATGGTAATAATTTCTCTTATTGTTCTCCCCTTTCTTGTCATTTGGAATTTCGTTATTTCCCTTCTATTGTTCTGAGCAAAGCTTGTCATTTGCTTCCAAAGTTGGGCATGAAAAGTTGAAAAGTACTTTTTGGCATGAAAGAATAAAGAGGCTGCTATGTTATTATTTATTTAAAGCCACAGATTTAGGATAAATACTTTTACCCACATTATTGGTTCCTAGAGAATCAAAGGCTTAGATGTTTGGGTGTGCTTAAAAAAAAAAAAAAAAATTCCATCTTACAGTTGAAACAATTTTTCGTAGGCCATTATGTGTGGAACTCATCGATTTATACGCAGAATCAATGCAAAAAAGAAAGTGTTCTTTATAGTTCAAGCTTTTTATATAAATGTCCAAGATGAAATGGTAAGTTTTCAGAAATTTTATGGTAATACTGAATTTATATAAGGTTTTCAGCATCTATAATAGTTCGATCGAGTCAAGGCTAACTAGAGACCAATTAGAGCTACAGATGGATGACAGGTTTTCTTTGGCATATTTGTTATTCTGTAATTTGTCTGAACTCATATTATATTTTGAAATACTTATTACATTGTAATTTGTTTGCTGAACATGGCATTTGATTGTGTTGCAGCAGAAGGTTTTGTGGAAGAGACACGTGATGAATTTTTGGTAGATAGAAATGTTGATGTGAATCTTGCGAATAATATGATATTAGCGGAGAAGGAAACATTAGAAGAAGATGGTCCGACGGTGCCTGAGGTGTCGGAGGTGGGTATGATGTTTAAGAATGAAAAATAATTGTGGGATTTCTACAAAAGATATGCATATCATATCGATTTTCCAGTTAGAAGAAAGAACTCAAAATAGGGGGATGACGGAAGAATGAAATATGTGACTTTAACATGTGGCCGTGAAGGTCGGAGGCCTACCAGGACCAGTGGTTCTTCAAAGCCCTAACCAAGTGCTCAGACAGATTGTAAAGCTAGGGTCACTGCATCTACAGATATTTATGAAATCTGGAGAATAAACACAATCCACCTCAACCACAACCATAAAACAAGTCCTTTGAAGTCGAGGTTGTATCGTTGCAATAGAGAATTAAGTAGGCATGTGAAACGGAAGTTGGAAGTAAATGATATGGCTGGAATTCCTTTACACAAAAGTTTTAATTCTGCAGTGGTTGAAGCAGATGGATATGAAAATTTGTCTTGTGTGGAAAAGAACTGCCGAAATTATATTGAACAAGTGCGACGGTTAAGACTTTGTGAAGGAGATGCCGCAGCGATACAATCGTACTTTTCTAGGATGCAAGCTCAGTGCATAGGATTCTACTTTAGTATGGACTTAGACAATGATTCAAGGCTAAAAAATAAATTTTGGGTAGACAATAGGTCTAGGCAAGCTTACAAGGAGTTCGGCGACGTTGTCACATTTGATACGACTTATCTAACCAACAAGTATGACATGCCTTTCATCCTTTTTTTTGGCGTTAATCATCATAGACAGTCAACATTGCTCGATTGTGGTTTGTTATCCATTGAGGACACAAAAACTTCTGTAAGACTTGGCTTCAGCGTATGCACGGAAATGCTCTCCATGAAATCATTACTCATCAGGATAGGGCTATACAAAATGCAGTTCAGATTATTTTTCCTAATACAAAGCATAGATGATGTTTGTGGCATATTCTGAATAATTTGCTTGAAAAGTTTGGATACCACGTCAATAAGGCTTCCATTTTTCGACCATAAATACACTGGTTTATGATTCGTAGTTCGTGGAAGAATTTGAAGAGGGTTGGAGGGCGATGATTGACACATACGGGTTGCACAATAATGAGTGGTTATCAAGACTATTGGATAATAGAGATCGTTGGGTTCTTGCCACTTGAAAACTACATTTTTTTTTTGCTATTTTTCATTAATGACGATTTTAAAATGAATTATTAACGGATATCCTTAAAATTAACCGAAAAATAATAAAATAATCACATTCATAGTATTTTCTGTTTCATTTCACGGACTCTATCAAATTCTACTCTCTTCACCATAATGCATCGGTGATTATCACTTGTTTATTTTAATTTTCACTTAATCTTATAAGTTTTTTTCTATAACTGTAGAAGGAGATGGACACGGCACGAAAGTTGTCTAGTGGAAAGTAGCATTCATATTTCTTGTTTAAGTTAGATTTTACAAGTTAAATCCACCTATTCTTTATGTTATAATCTTTCGCGTGTTCTTTAATTTTTTAAGCCAGTTTTCATTTTTCAGGGTTTTTTTTATGATGTTACTTTGATCTTTTAAGGAGACACCCCATGTCTTAATATAGTATCAGAGCCCATTAATTTCCAAAGAACGATTCGATCTGATTAAAATTCAAAAAATAAGCACATGAATTTTAAGATAAAATTGCTCAAACAAGCCACCATCTTAATTGGACATGTTAAATGGATAAAATTTCACATCGGCATGTAAACATTGACCAACTTATAAGATTTTGAAAATAAGGTTGTCATTTTAAAATGAAACCTCAAATTTTAACAGACGACACCAACTCAAGATCTATAGGCAAGATTATGCATTATTTCTCCACCCAAAAGCATGACATACTGTCTTTATATTAGTTCATGTTGTTATACATTAGTAAGATATTCAAATGAATACATCTTGTGTCGTGTTAATGCTATCGAATATTGCTATTCTGAAACAGGCAAGCTGTTTTGTTCAATCATGTAGCAATCCGCAGTATTGAACTCCAAATTGGAATTTTTGAACGGCTCAAGCGAATTTCAGCATATTTTGTTGAACAAAATAAAAATATATTGACGATGAAATTGTTGAACAAGATTTAAATTTTCAATTTCAATGTTTGATGATATTAAAATTAAGGTATCATAAATACCCAATATTTTCCAATTGATTTGGTTTGCTACAAAAAAAATTCATTTTTCTCTTTTTTGAGAAAATTAACCTAAACCCTACATTTTACGTTTCGACTTAAAAATCAAGCATTTCACATTCAAAAATTCGAGAATTTTTTTTTAATAATCAGATAATAATTATTATTTAAAAAAAAATCATATATCTTTCTCTCTACTCTATCACTCTCTATCTACGGAAGGGATTTACAAGTTCAATCGCAACCACCAACCACCGACGGATCTAGCACCTGGCAAGCCCCCACAGGCGCTCGTGCTGGATTCGTCGAAATGTAATTTTTTTGGTTGTCAAATTGTTTTAGATATATTTTTGTGATTTCCTTTGATTC